TTTTTTTTTTTAAAGTTAAATAATATCAACTATCTTTGGGTATTTCAAATTTTGTTTTATTAACAATGCATCCCTTTGATAGGATTGTATGTTTCTTTAGGTCACCAATGCCCCCAAAACATACTGTACACATTATACAAGGGAAACCACGATTCAGGCAAAAAAAAAAAAAAAGGAAAAAAAAAAAAGGAAAAACGTTTAAATTATAATACAGTCTTGAGGAAAAAATATAAATAACTTTTTTCTTCTCTGGTTGAGCTCACTCTATGGTACAGACATATAATAAATAGATCGGATCTGACATCACTCAGCTGATCTATGAATCATCTCTCTATGAGTCCATTTGTGTAGCAGCAGTAGAGCAAAAAAAAAAAATTTAAAAATTAAATAAAAAAATAAAAATAATAATAAGCCAATGGAAACCGAGCTCCCCTGTTTCCCTGGAAAACCTTTTATAAATCCTTTAGTCATCGCTCACGTTCCCCCCTGTGAAACTGCATGGTGGAGGCAAATCCAGGGGTCATTATAGTCCTACAACGTAATGGCAGCAAGTAATGGCAACCTATTTTTAAAAAGGTTTTACAAGCAAGAAACACGTTCAGGTGACATTACAACTTCGCCATGCTTGTTGGACATGCAGTGGAGGTGAAGCACAGAGGTAAGAAGGTATAGTGATGGGCAGCCGCTGGGTTTACGCAGAGTTTGGAAACATGTGTGAGCAGAGATTGGGACTGAATCTACAATGAATCTTCGGAGCGTCTTTCCAAGGATCGACCCACTTTCAGAGAAGCTCGCTAAAAATGCAGTGGAAGAAAAAAAACACGAGAAGTCCTTAGCAGGTAAAGGATGGCATAAACTAGTATTAAATTACGTGCTATTCTTCCCATGTACTGCGTGAGGGTGGTAGATATAATGCTTTAGAAAATAGAATACTAGTGATGTTTGATTGTCTGAGATACAAGAACTAGAAAAGCAATTGGCTACCTGTGCTGACAAGAGGCTACAGGTTGTAAGAAGTAGAGAGGCAAGAGAAGCAAAAGCACATATCCGGCTAGAACAGATCACGAGTCGGGGTGGGATATGAAGGCTCCAGGTACGTTTTAAAAACAGCAGGATCCCTCTGTAGTGTTTTGTCGAAGAAAAGAACGCAAGGTCTGAGGAACCACTGGGCAGACACGACGACATGACTTATTTCATTACAGAAAAAAAACAAAAAACAAGACCACCTCTGGAAAGAGGAGGGAAAAATTATAGTTTTTTGTTTGTTTTTGTTTTTTTAAACACAGCTCGAGTCTTTGTCCTAATGATTTAGCTTGTCGCTGAGCATTATGTTGATGTATTATTGAGTGTTGCTCAACATCGCCAGTCCATTTGAAAACAGTATTTGGTTAAACTGCTCCCCCTTTTTCCTGTGTTTTTATTTAGAAAAAGAAAAATAAGTCTGAGACAGCATTAGGCGTGTCGGATTACATTTGTTTATAGATGCTGACGTCCTTTGTTTCCAGCTCGTATGTAAGGTGACTGATGACCATCTCCTCTTTTTCCTTGGCTGTGGTGCTGTTAAAATCCACCAGAAACACATTGAAATGCCCCACCCCATCTTCAGAGCCTTAACTCATATTATTTCAGTTTTGTCTGCCTTTCAGGGTGATAAGAAGCCGGGTCTGCAGCTGTGCAGGGAAAGCAGGAGGGATGGGGGAGAAATGGGATGATCAGGATTCTTCAGGAGGGTCAGCGTCCTCTTCAACAGGTTTTGGTTGCTTTGTCAGGATTGCTTCTGCTTCCTCAAACATCTGGGGAGAACCAAAAGAAGAACAATGATTAAACGTGTAAGCACAAGGACACAGTCCGTTTTAAAAACCTTCAAATCAAGTTTCAATTGATCTTACTGGCATAAATTGCACATCCTGGAAAAGTTCTTGTATGAAACGTCTTGAGGTCAGGCGAAATGCACAGTGGGATAAGAGATGAGAAACCTCCGAGTACAAGCAAATGTCATCAAACGCATATGAAAACTTCTCTTTTATCCTGAAGAGAGACGAAATATTTTAGAGACCTTGGAAAAACAACTTTAAAATGCATCCAGAGAATATGGACAAAAGGGGGAAAAGGAGCCTTACGTCAGTAGTCCTGTTTCGTGGCCTTTGGTTCCTACGGAGGAGCTTAGGTTGATGATGAGGCGGAGCACCTCCTTCCTCAGTAAGACTCGAGAGGCGGGGCCGTCCTCGGATATCGCCTTGCCACCTGAGGGAAGCAAGCGAATATTTATACATACACTCTTATTAACATTCACAAAACCAAGGGACTCATTTTCACCCAATGGCCCTTTATAAATAAAGTAACAGTTAAAATATAAACCCACCTCCTCATAATTTATTACTGTCTCTAAAATTGGGTTTATTCATCATACAGTGAATTCTGAAGTGTGTGGGATGAGAAGGAAAAATACAGTCAAATCAGCCTGCAGCATGCCGGGTTTCCTAGCAACATATTTTGTTTACACATTGTTTGATATAAAAACTGCTATAAACTGATCCAGAGCTAGCGGCATGTGATTGATTGATAAAGTTCAATAAAACGTGATTAATTATTGCAGGGCTGAGTGGGTTGTTGGAGACGTGGCAGAGCTGGGTGGAGTGTGTTATTGGACACAAATGGGGAACTGGACTGATTGCTGGCTGTGCGGGGCAGTGTGGGAAGCGCAGCTGAACTGAGGGGAGAATCCAGAGTGTGGAGAACTAATCCATAAATGCAGAGCAGCTGAGTGGGGCAGCTCTTGGGCCTGAGCAGGAGAGCTGAAAACTGATGCAGAGCAGAGTGGATGATGAGATTTGTTTGACTCGTTAATTCGTTCAAATGTGATTCTTATTATGTTGGAACCAACCATGCAGTGAAATTTAAAATGTATGCAGTGAGTTGTTCAATCAGTTTCACAGTAATTAATCGGTTTTCAATACAAAACAGATGAACTTCTGTATTATTATCCTTCTACAAGTGCTAAGCTATTTAGTTGTGTTAGTTACTCTCTTGTTTGTTGTACACTCTGTTAATTCATTATGATCTGTAATGAAATGATCTCAAGTCATTTGTAAAAGTAATAAACTCCCTAAGACTTCATCTTAAATACTTATTCTGTTACATCATTTCTTGGAATAAGAAACATTGAATGAAAATTCAAAACTAAACTTCTTCAAGAAATGACTTCATTGACAATGTCTGGGAGTTTGGGTTTAACTTTTATTTCTCATAAATGCTGCAATTTTATGGTGAAGTATCAATGTGTGTGTGGGCTTTTGTATTTGCTTATTCCACAGAACTAAACTTGAATCAAATATTGAGGACTGAATATTCCACAGGGCACTAAGTTTGACTCACTTGTCCTGCCACTGCTCATTTTAGGACACTCATCAACAAAGAAAGATTAAACTAAAGAGACTTTCCTAGTTAAATAAAGACTTCCTTTGTCATTCTAATTTGCTTTGATGGTCTAGAGAAAGAGAGAGGAAACAGGTGGATAGAGAAAAAAAGTCCAACAAATGAGTTGATGGAGAAGGAGACAGTAAGACTTTCAACTGGAACAAAGCAGCACTTTTTATTTAGCATATTGTGGTTATTTGTGAGCTCACCAATGACAATGTCACCAGGTGTAGGTGTGCCAGAGATTGAACCTTGTGACACAGCAGCATCACTGCAGCCTGACACCCCAGAAAATTTTGACTGTGGCATCACCTCCAGGCGGTGGCCGCTCTGGCCTCCCCATGATGGAAAGTCAACAAAATCTGCGAGAAAAGATGGGGAGAAAAAAGCATTCCTTGAAGTATCTGTTAGGTTTAATCCATAGCCGTTCAAATGACTGAATGTGTGCGTGTCAGCTTACCTGTACGAGAGTGTGTGCTATTGATCAGTGGTTGGGTGGGGTATCCAAGGACGATCGCTCCCACGCAGTAGAGGCAGTTTTCTTCAGTGTGAACCTGCAGGCCCGTCTCCTCAGAGCCCACCATGTGGTTCGGGGTGTCTCCTCGGTGCACAATCAGCTCTGAGATACTAAACTGCTGCTTCAGCACTGGGAGGGCGGGACGATCACCTAGGGAGGTGATAAGCACCAACAGAAATCAGTCTCTTGTCTTTGTGCAGCTTTGTGATTCAATAGTTTATTTAATTATGTGCGAAGTGGACGTTACCATCGCCGTCACCGAAAAGAAAACGTTTCCGCTCTTCCGATGGCGGGCTGATCCTCTGCTGAAAGTAGGCAGAGTCTCTGATGTGGAACATGTCATGGATGTCCATCGGCAGTGCAAGGCCAATGTAGTCGTCGTTACATCCGAAGGTGACGCTGGAGACCATTGAGCGTACTGAAGAGCAGCGGTGCAGGGTGCTTTGGTTGATTGGACTGAGTAGCTCTTCTTTATCCAAAGAGGCAAAACTCAGAGCTTTCAGAAACCTAGGGAGGGCAAGAGGAGAGGTGCGTGAGAGGATCTGGGGGGAGAGGCTGGGAAAGAAAAGGAACATGGGGAATAAATGGGAAAAAAGGTTTGGTAAAAGAACAGAGAGGGGAAACTTTTTTTGCTGCAGAACGCCATCAGAGCAGCGGCAGCAAAAGTCATTTTGTTTCCATTGTCTGAGGTTTAAAGTTATAAATGGATTCTTTTTCTAGTGCAATCAGTGGGTAATGTACAGGTTAAGAGTTATGAACTCATCTGTTACACCTTTGTATCAGAGATTTAGCTCTTTTTTCACACTCTCTCACATTTCCTTATTTTCTGGTCCTGCTTTTTGCGCTTACCTTACCCACCACTTTTTTTCTATGCATGACGTATCACTGTGATGCATTTATACTAGACACATTGTAAAACATCAAATTGCACTAATCTCTACCTGTTTGCCATTTATATTTTTAAGTTGGGGTCACAGGGAGGCCACTAGAAATTGACCAGTCTACGTGGGACTTACTTGCACAACAGGAAAGCACTGACGGATCAACTGTAGGCAGAGAGCAGTTAGTACTCTACTAAAGCAGCAACAACATATTGATCTGTCTGGACTGGTGCTAGAAGCTACATCTCTAAAGGAGGACACAAGCTAGGTCCACCCACCGCGGTACGAGTGTTCTGGACAGCCTGCGGTACGAACTTACGGCGCTGGGTTCTGGACAGGTAACCCTCCTATCTGATATCCTGACAGACACAGCAGAAGGTGCACAAAAAGACACCCCCCCAAAAAAAAAAATCTGTCATTCCAAAGGTACAAAAAAAACTAAAAGCGAAAACTCAGGTTCAGGTATGTTTTTAAACATTTTTTATGCTGACGGCTAACATCTTCACGTGGCACCAAACCTAAATTAAATACGCTCAAAAACACAACAGAATAATAGAGATGGGTTAAGATGTTCCGTTTCCATGAAGCAAACCCTGTGGTGGAGCCGACTTACCTGCGGGGAGTTAGTCTGGAATCGAGACTGCCACTCTTCATAGTGATGGTGTCTGTGAACAGCACATCTTTGGCAGGTGAAGCCAGCGCTTCACTGTGAGACAAAGATGGGTGTATCCTCTGCTGCTGAAGCCTCTTCAGCGTAGCGTAGCCCAGCGCGTCTCTCGGGCTGGTGTACATGAAGCTACAATCAGCCAGGCTTTTTATGGTGGTCACTGAGGGGGACTTGAGAGACTGAGCCCGGCGGGGGAGGGTGTGGGAGGAGCCGGGAGGTACCAGAGAGACAGTGGAGGACTTGGACGTGGACATGTGGTTAGTCTGTGACTGGGGGGTGAGGGATGAGAGTGTTTTGACAGTCTTGGCAGACACTACTGTGTTGAGGCTCACGCAGTCAGAGGAATCCGGTTCGGCTTCCGGATGCTCCGGGTTGCCAACGGTTTCCCGAGAGGGACTGGAGCTCATGGAGCTGATGCCGCTCGTTGTGGTGTCCGTGTTAAAGCTCTGACTGCGGCTTTTAAACTGAGTACCTCCGCTACCCCCTCCTACATTGCCTCCGCTAGAAGAGCCGCCATCTCCTGCTAGACGCTCCCGGCTGCTCTGCTCTCTCTCCCGGCTATGTTGCTCTGCAGCCCCCTGGCCTCCAAGAGTACTAAGTCCGAGGCCTGAGCCTCCTCCCTTCGACAGCCTGCCATCCACCAAGTGCTCCTCTGAGCCCCCTCTTGTCCCAACAAATGATGTCTCCAGACTGACCGTTGGACTCTTTGGCATTCCTCGGCCATTAAAGATAGGGGTAAAGTCCCCCTGGTTTGGGCTGTAGACAGAGGGCTCTGTCACTGTCCTGTTCCGCCTCATACTCCCAGTCTTGAGCTCAGTGGGGGTTCGAGAGCCCGATGGTGTCTTGGGGTCACTGGTGGAGCGCAGTTTCTTGCTGGGGAGAGACAGGGAGTTCAGGAAGCGAGTGCGAACGAAGCGAGTAGAGGCCAGTATTGTAAAGGGGCTACGGTCTTTGACTGGTTTGGAGTGTAAGTATAAAGAAGTCTCATCCGACTGGTCCAGAACATCACACTTGTCATCATCCAGGATGTACATGTCTAAGAGAAATGAAATTAATTAAAAACGTCCAACTTCTAGCAATAATTACTGATTATTATAGAGATCTGTTAAAAAAACAAAACATAAATTTCAATAGTTTTGGAGAACATGGTGACAAAGCAAAGGCAATGTGCTACGTACTTGGTTGAGACTCGCTCTCGCTGTTGTGGCGGGAGCTGGTGGACTCCGAGTTTAGACTGAGCGTGCTCGGTACTGAAGAAAGTTCAGAGGTCAGCTGCGTGTCCACTTCGTCTGGAGTGACGGGCCACAGCGTCCTGCGACTGTGTCTGACTGCATCCCAACCGAACTGTTTTAGCACCTCACAGCCCTGCTTGGTCTTGGTGATCACACCCAGCACATACACACATGTCCTGTGGGCACCAAGTGACAGTCAAAATACAAATACAAAATACTTCTATATGAAATTTAAAAAAAAAAAAAAACACACAAAAAAAACAGTCTGACGTTACATGTTCCATAGTAATGCTTTTTAATGTAACTGAATAAAAGACAAAGAAAGAAAAGCTCACCCTCGCACTGACAGCACCTCACAGTGCTGAGCCAATGCAAGGATATCAGGAATGACGTTCTCCTCCTGCAGGAGATTCAGACCCCAGTTTGAAGAGCCAATGTTTCCCTGAAAAAACAAAAAAACAAAACGAAAAACAACCACAATCAAGCCCGTGTCTTTGTAATATCATTAAAGATTAACTTATGTGACACGGATTAATCTGCGTTACTGACTAGTGCCCAGAGAGCAGCTTTGAGCTGTTTGATGCCCTCCCAGGTGTCCAGCATCGGGGAGCGAATCGTGTAGCTAAGGTCAGGCACTACACTCTGGAGACAGATGGGGAAAAAATAAAAGACAAATGGCACTTTAGTCCTACAGAACAGCTGAATGATAATTTTTAGTTAAAAAAAAAAAAAGAAGAAGAAGAGAGAGACCTTACCTGAGCCTCTAATAAATGACAGCCTGTCTTATCGTGAACCAGCTGACCATACAAGTGCACAGGGAGATAGACGTTTGGTCTTTGTAACCTGGAGACATGGCCAAAGAAATCAGGCACAGTCAAAAACCCATTCACTGCTACAGCTCATCGGGTTGCCCCAAATTTCACCCTACTTACCTTTGGTTGCTGCGTCTGACGTAGTTGTCTCCATCGACAGGTTTGCGGTAAGTTGTTAGTGCTTCATTGAGCTGCTCCTCTATCTGGTCCACATACTTAAGATTATACTCCTGCAATGCACAGAGTCTACTTAATATTCAATTCAATTACATTTTATTTATAGAATGCCAAATCACAACAACAGTTGCCTCAAAGGTGCTTTATACTGCACGGTTAAGACCCTACAATACAAAGAAAACAGATAAAAACCCAACAATCATATGACCCACTATGAGCAAGCGCTTTGGCGACAGTGGGAAGGAAAAACTCCCATTTAACAGAAAGAAACTTCCAGCAGAACCAGGCTCAGAGACGGGCAGCAATCTGCCGTGACCGGTTGGGGTGAGGGGAGGAAACTCATTTGTATGTGTCCTTGTTATAGCCACATGATTTCAGAATATTTTAAATGAGATTTCATTAAGCTGTCTGCTGATATCTGAATAATACCTTTTGCCATTTATCCAGCTGTTTGCTGACATAGCCCCTCTCATTGAGGTAGGAGAAACCTTTAGGAATGGACAGGAACCTAAAAAAGCAGGGGAAAAAAAGATGTAGAGTGTGTTCAAAAAGGACTATTTCAGAGTGACGCACTGTTTTTGTGTTGTTGTAGTGGTAAACACCTACCTGAGGAGCAGTAAGAGGCCTTTGTCTCCCAGGTGGGACACAGCTGGTTTCAGCTGGATTAGAGCGTGAAGGTTGGCCTGTAAAGCAGCAGAATGGGCACAAAACAAAACTGTCAGATAACACGATGGGCTTAATCTTATCTGCTTTTGCTACTTTATTATTTAATTGCTTTGCTGAGAACAATCTAAGCGGCATCATCACTCACTTTGTCTTCACACGCCTCATCCAGTATGTCCAGGGCCTCCATGGACACAGCCTTGTTGTGGTCGTGAAGCTGTGTGACCAGCAGCTCCATGCCCCAGCTACTGAAGAACTCCACGCCTGCACGCAGCAGCACGCGGAGGTGCTTGGTAGCATACAGCCTGCACGTCTGCACAGCGAGACAAGAAGTATTGTGTGATCAGGGGTGCTGCGAACATTTAATTGCCAAGAGGCCTACTACTTCTCAGAAGGTGTGGTGGGTGGAGGAAAATGAGGTGATCGGGTGTGTTTAGAAAAAGAAAAAAGGGCAAGTTTGGCAATAGATGATTCAGTTTATTTTATGCCTACAAATGTGGCAGTGTGATAAGAGGTTGCTGACCACTGTGCATGAAAAAAAACAACAACTTCCCCATTACTACTAATTACAATATTAGTGTTTTAACAGCTTGCTTACATCAGTAGAAGCAGTGAGGATCTTGGAGAGGATCACTCTGGCCAGACCATCTCTGCTGTAGTCCAGTGTGGATACAGCGAGTTTCAGCACAGCATCCTGGTTCTTTACAGAGCACAGATTCAGCAGGCTGAAAATAGAGGGGAGAAAAAAAAAGTGCAAATGTCACCTTGCAGGATGTTTTTAATCAAACAGCTCTGACACAATTTCACTCTGCAGGCCTGGAAAAGCTCAAAATAGATTAAAGACTTTTCTGCTCACTCACCACTGAAACAGGCCACATTTCTCTAGTAGTTTGACTCCCTGTGGGTGTGCCGAGAGCGTCCCCAGGAAGAGGAAGTAGTGTTGGCTGAGTGTAGTGAGCAGGCCATTACTCTGCAGACAGCGCTCGGGCTTCATTCCAGAGGATGAGGAGAGCCACGATACCATGTCCTTCACCAGGTCCTCCAGGTAACCCTGGCCATCCTGGTTGATGGTGGGGGAAAAAATAAAGCGTCAAAAACAAAGCCGGGTTCGTAAATGACCAAAAAGAAGAAATAAATTAGAGTGCGAGCATCAGTGTAAACCTCTCTAACCTCATCGGAGTCCATGAGGAACTCAACAAACTGACAGCCAACCACAGTGAGTTGTCTGGCCTTTAGGTGATCCAACGCGAGCCCTGCGTACAACTTACTACTGGGCTTATAAAAGTACAGCAGCCTCCGAACAAACCTGCATCAGACAAAAACAAATAGAAATGTAAAACAGGATGTGAGAAAAACACGCTGAACAAATTCAGTTTCTTGTAATGAGCTGTGGTTAAATAAAAAAGGCTTACTTGTGCATCTGTTCATCTTTGTTGTTCCTGAGGTTTACATTTGGCCACTGAGAAGACAAAAAAATACCCTTTTACACAAGTAAAAACAAAACGTCGAGTCTGTGGTGGTACATGAGAACAGCCTGACCTTGAGGATGGTGGCAATAAGCAACCAATTCCACTCCAGATTCTGCTTGTGGTTGAGAATCTGACTGTCTCGCAGATTCATCATCAGTGCTTCTTCTGTGTCCTGAGCACAGAAGCAGAAAAAACAGAAGCTGTAAATATGAAAGTAAAACTATTTGTTTTATTTAAATGTTTAAACCTTTGGCTTTAAATTGTTCAAATCAGGTTTGCAGCAAATAACAGCCTCCCTCTTTCTAGCTACACTAAACACACCACATACTTTGCAACAAACACACAGAAGCCGAAGCCAAGACCAACCGTAAGATGGAAAATACGTAAAAGATGTTGATCTTTACCTTAATGACATAGATGTCTTTGTGGACACGTGAATCTCTGCGGTTATGTGACGACACAGACTTGCGAATGATGTGGTCCAGATAAAGACTGTGCGGTTTCAAACCTTTCTTCTTCTTCTCATGGAAACGTTTCAGATTGTTGACGGCTGCACTTGCTCGCCTAGAGCGCATAGAGACAAAGATGGAGGATGTTTTAAAAGTGGTTTAAAAACTAGTACGTTTTCAAGTAAATCCTACAAGTTAGTCGGCGACCAGTTGGCGAGTAGTGGCTGGATGAAATTTTCAAAAACAAGGATTATGACTAAAGATTAGAGGAAATTATTTTGTTACAATAAAAAAAACAAAAACAAGAGTGATTGCGTGTGTGGCAGTTTGTACTCACAGTCGTTTCTCTTGGGGGATGTCAAAGGAGGCTGCCATGTTGATGAGAGTGGGAAGGCAGTGCAAGTGGTGACTATGGGAATGAGGAAGGATGGTATTTGCCTGATCAAGAGAGAAATAAAACCATGGTGAGTATAGCAAAAGAAGCCGAAGGAGTCAAAGAAACAAAGATATAGCTTAGAAACTTTTAGAAATGCACAAAATTATACTTTTTTTATTACCATGTGTAAAAGGTCTCCCAGAAGGATGGTGGCCCTGACAGCAAGCTGGTCATCGCTACTGGTCACAACTTCAACAAGGCCCTACAGTATCAAAAATAAAGGCACAAGGAAGGACATCAATATAAAAGCCACCCAAAAGCAGTTAATACAATACTGTGAAACACACACTCCTAGCCTGAGTAAATTAAACCTATTGTGCTTTTACTGTGTCAGCTCACCTCTAAAAGCCCGCTGGAAATGAAGGCAGAAAGAACAAATGCCAGGTAGTTGTCCATTAGGTCAGGCCTAATAAAGGGAGCAGATAAAAATCATTTTATGGCTTGTTTACACACTAAAGTGACAACAGTTCTGTCAATATATTTCATTTCTATCCTGTGCTTTCGTTTGTCACCTAGAGCGGGCCCGATGGGGTAGGATGACTTTGGCCTCGGCAGCAACAAACCCGTCAGACAGTCTCCAGGTGTCCTGGAACCTGGCGGGGTCTGAAGGAGAACAGAGCAAACAGACCAGTTTGTCAGTGTGTGGAAAATATGGACCTACTTGGGGTCTAAAAGAAATTTTATTCTACATTTAACCATAGGCTGTACTGAGATAGCATATTAAATGCTGAAACAAAGATTTTTTTTAATCTTAAGCAGGACAAAATGCTAATTTTTGAAATTGATTGCATTAACACATTTCAAAAAAGTGGAGCTGGAACATTTTTCACACTATGTCAGAGAACAAAAACACAAACGTGTCGTGGTTTCCTGGTGATTTAGAATTTAAGCTTTTTAGTTCAAAACACACCAAATGTATTCAGTGGGTCACTAAATGGATTTTATTATGTAGACATGCAGACTGTGCTTCAGTGCTGTCCTGCTAAAATGAAAGTGTTTTCCTTCAAATGGACTTTATCATCATGTTGCTCCAAAAATTTCTACCTTGTGTATCATTAAGCATTATTTGGGCCTTCACAGATTTGCCCAGTTATCCATGTAATGTGCACTAATTAATCTCCAAACCCCAGCAGATCCTGGCTTTTCAACTAATCACTGATAATAAACCAGATGGCCCCTCTTTACACTACAGAATGAAGCAGATGAGACCACAGGGCAGCTTTCTCCCTCCTAAATGAGCTCTGGTTGGCTCAGGAAGGACAGCTGGATTTTTGGATGATGGTCTAATTTGTATCTGTGGATCCAACTATGAACTGTGTCCACAGATAACAATATTCAGAAGTGTTCCTAAACTAGAAGTCCCCATCCCCTGGGACACGAACAGGTACCGGTCCGTGAGTCATTTGGCACCAGGCCGCGAGAGTTGAGGTTCGGGTGTGAAACGTATGGTTTTCAGGGTTTTTATCGTTAACTCGGTTTCCCTGGGTCTTTTCCTGTGTTGTAGTTGTGTGTCTTATTTTGAAAGAAATATTTGCGCGTTACCATAGTGACCAGAGAGCATTAAAGGGGCAGAGAGGAGGATGTTACTTTCATTGTTGTTGGCGCATTTCAGGAGGACGCAGCTAACAAAGTTGCACAATAACACAGTGAATTTGCGTTTATTATTACATTTACAAAACACCACAGCTTTTGTCTTGGTCGTATCATTTTATTTTGTTGTATTTATCCGCGACACCTTAAAGGCCGGTCCGTGAAAATATTGTCTGACATTAAACCGGTCCGTGGCGCAAAAAAGGTTGGGGACTGCTGCTCTAAACCCAACAAAAACCTGTTTTTGATGCAGTGTCACACTAGGGCCCGAAGACCACGGTCATTTAGTGTTGGTTTTCTGATGTTGTCTTGTTTCCCATTTTCTCCGAATCTTTAATGATATTTTGTGCGATAGATGACTAAGTCGCATTGTTTTCTGCTTTTCTTTTTCCAAATTACACATTTAGTGTTAACTGTTTAAAAATTGGTTTTTCACACTCAGTGGGCAAACCGAGTAAAAGTGCTGAGCCCCTCTCATCTTTAATCATGAACAACTCAACCTTTCTGGGAATGTCTTTTCACACCCCGTCGTGTTACTTATTAACCTAACAAGCAGTCAGATCTTCAACCAGGTGTTTTTTTTCCTTCTAATATTACATAACTGTTCCAATCTCATGCTTCCCCTCTTAACTTTAGTGAAATGTGCTATTTACATCAAATACTTAATATAACAGTTTCTAAGTTCCACTGCTTGTTTTTATATGGGGATTAAAATATTTGAAAATTAGATATTTTTTACTTACCAACACTTAGAAGGGCTTCAGTGAAGTCTTGTGTTACAATGGGCACAGGAAGCCTGAATATCTCATATAGCACTTCCAACAAGCCTTTCTGCAGAGCATATTTGATAAAATTGGTTACAAATAATTATATGGCTATGGCAAAAGCTGCATTGTTAAGTAGCGGAAAAGAACAGTTAGAACTAATGTTAATGCTGTGTAAAACAGTGATTTGCAAGCTTGAGAGAACCCAATGGTTTGATAAGATGGCATGGCGAATACACTCTGTGCTTTAAGCCTCTGAGGCCAAACAGACTTAACATTAGTTAAAAGGTTGTTTCATACAGGAAATTTTGGTTGATTTTTAATTTCTAACGCAACTCCATCTAACTGCTGCACAATAAAAACAATCGCTTGGATGGAATCTTCACAGGCAAGAATCAGAAAAATCTGTGTTTTTGAATATCAAACTTCCTTAAGGGCCAAACATTTTTATACTCACCCTAACTTCCATATTTGGTATGCAAAGTAAGCCAATTAAAGACTGGATTCCAGAATTTCCAGCCTTGCATAGGTTGATAATTCCTGAGACAAAAAAAAGAGAGAAAGAGAGAGAGAATAGGAGATATTTAACAGTGGGTATTCCACTGAGAATGTACAGAATGTACAGAAAGAATAACGTTAAAGCCCTTACCGGACCAGGAGCGGAAAGCAGCCACTATAGCCATTCGGCTGGACAAAAAACGGGCTTCTCTGTCTTCCCTGTGAACAAGAAAAAACACACGTTAAAGACTGGACATCATGTTCTGTGCACACAACATCGTTATGATCTTTCAGCCGGTGGTTGTTCAGACTACACAACACAAACAAAACATAAAAGATCTTTTATAAAAATCTGACTTCACATCCTCTGGCAACCCGCTGCAGAGTCAAGCCACCCTGACAACAAGGGTCGCCTAACAAAAACACTACACAAACCCTCCTCTCTCTCGCGCTCTCTCTCTATGCACAGTTCAACCACAGGCTCTTCATACCACCTAAACACACACACACACACACACTCACTTGAGTTGCCCCTCAGCCGTGTCTGCGTTGTGACGGTAGTGAAAATCAGTGAAAGGCGCGAGGATTTGCTGGAGAACAGAGAACAAAAACAGAGAAAATTGATGCACACAAAACACAACAGTAAAGAGAGCTTCAAATTACATCTCTATTTACTACTGTCAGGAAAAATCTTGCAGTAATAATGAACCTGCTACACATCTTATATAACATCTGTGTGCCTGCAGTGATGAGCTGCTACTGTCCCAAGTGTTTACAGACAATGAGGCTTTGGAGAAATGCTGTAACTGATTACTGTAAGCTCCATGGGAAAGAGACGGGCACCTACAGCTCTGCTAATCCTGACTGGAATGGCTCCCAGCACAGTGGCTCATTTTTAAACAGAAGCTTCTTCTCAATTCATAATCTATGTGTCAGTGTGTGTGTGTGTGTGTGTGTGTGTGTGTGTGCACAGACCTCCAACTCGACGTCAACACGCACATACTGGCGGGTGCGTGGGTGGTTGAGTAAGTGGAGGATGGTGGTGATAAGTGCTTCGTTGATGCGACTTAGTTGACAGTCTATCACACTCTTAAGGATGGTGCTGAGGCCTCCCCGTTTGGCCACCACCTCTGGGTTCTTCAGGGCTACACAGGCAATGGCGGTAATAATAATAATAATATTAATAATAATGTCAAACAACAATAGTTCTCCACCTCAGAAAGTTTTTCTGTTCACCCAAAGAGCACCATGCATAGCAACTGCACCGGCCTGCGTCGTTAAACACCAGGCACTTTACCTAGCTCGCAAACGATGGCGATGGCGGCGCGCACCATGCGGTCTCTCTCCTGCAGGCCGTCGGTCCCCACAGCAATTAAAGAGTTTGCAATAGACGTGGGGAAGAGCATTGCGTTGACAGTGATGATCTACAGAGAGAGGAAGAGGACGGGAACATGAGTCATCAAAACAAGTCACGACAAAGAGAGGCAAAAAATAACTTCACTGTTTTGCTCTTTTTATGGCTGCTTTTTTGGAGAACTCCAGAAAAAGAAGATCAACTTTTGAAATGCAAAAACAGGATCTGACTATTCAGAGGTCACATATTTAGTGCTTGTAAAACTGGTAGTTCCTTCAAGAAATTGAAGCTGAAACCACAGCACTATGACTCTAAGCGCTGTGTGAAGATTTACAGTAAACTACTCAACTATAAATAACCCCGCCTGCAGACTCATGCAAACCATCCCCACTGACACTCCTGCTAACCCCGGGAGCTTTCTGGTGGCATTTTGCTGGCACAGGAGTGAGCAGTGAGGGCAAATTCCTCGAGTGACATGAGAGCGACTCTGCAAATGGTCAGAAGGAACAAAGACCGCCAAAACACACGCCTTGTTTTTACCTTTCGGACAAGTCGTAGAGCCTGAGTCCTCTCACCCTCATTACTCTGCTGGATGTCAATGCATCTGAAAAAACCCACAATCATAACAATCAGTCATGTACCACGGTTGGGCCGAAGAAGAAGAAGACTGGCTGAAGCATGGTACTACAAACACCCTAACAACTTAACTAAAAAAAAAAAACCCAAACATTTAGTAAGCCTACCAACTGTTACACCTGACTGGGTGGTTCAAAGCAGGAGCTCACCTGGCTATCAAGTAATCCACCTGTAGTCTGAGGACCTTCTGCAGTACGCTGGTATCTCTGATGAGGTAGCGAAGCGCCCGCAACCCCGCAGCACGCACTTCTTTAGCTTCATTAAGGAGAGCTAGTCGCAGACTAGAGATTAAAAACAAACAATAAAGTGACTAAAACTAGAGCACGGACAACCTGGCACAAGATATGACTATTTCCTTCATTACTTCATTTACTGGTACTTTTCAATCACACATTCACGTCATCATTATTCCAAATCCAGAACAGCTTAACAGCCAGAGTAAATAAAAAGCGCACATTAAATAGGACACACTGACACTATTATCGGTGGCTCAGATTACTTACCAAATGATGATTTCTTCATATGTAAACCCAAAATTTTCCTCACGGTGGCCAATGCTGCACAGCAGCTATAAAACAGAAACATAAAAATGGTTTCAATATGGCCATGACTCCATTAGCATGGTTTTAGTGAAGGACAAGAGTAAATCGAGCCCAGTCAGGTACATGCTGATTTAATGGATAACTGTGAATGAAAAAAATGTGTTCAACTCATTTAGAGGCTCTAAGTAGGAAACCCATAGAGGCAAAACACTTGCCACTATTTGTCGCTTAAGCACATGCTTGTATGATAGTACGTCAAAACACAAAGGAGATAAGATAGAGTCTTCAATGGTTGGACTAATTCTGTTGTATTGTTCTCTCATAGCCTAGATATGTGCTCCTATTTTCTCTATCCTATCAGGTCTGGCAGTCAGTGTGACCCTGTTTCCAGCATGAATGTCTACCTGTAGCAATTCCCTTAAGGCAGGTAAGGCTGTGCAGTATGTCGTAAAAAAAAAAAAAAAATCATATCTCAATACGCATATAAAAGGAGTACTTATTTATTGATCTGAGAGACCAGAGGAGGAGGCCAGAATGAGCCCGGGAAAGACTCCAAAGCGGCCCACTTGACAGCTTTGGAAAATGTGATGAAGCGCACAGACTTATGACCCTTTTAGCTGTATTTTCATAACTTTTACAGCTTTCCTACTGATAAAAGACCCCTCACCACTGCTATTGATAATACAGCTAAGTAATTAAGTAACGTATAAACAATTAAATGAAAAAAGTTCCTGTTTTTTCCACTATGTACTATAACATGTTTCCATACTAGATAGGAAAAAAGACAATGAAAAATTTACATGTTATAAAAGGACGGTGTGGGCAATGAACTACTAGACATTTTTCTGTAATTTTACAAATTTATTACATAAGCTCAAAGTAGGATGTATGTAGCCAACAATTCAAAATGACTTTACACGTATGATTTTGAGGATGAGAGACAATATAAATCTGTGGTAAACACAGTGAAATAATAAAATAAAGAGTTGCAGTACTTGTAACTAATAAATCAAAGAGAGAGAGGGAGACAGAGAAATTTTTAAAAATGTAGCAAAACAAACAAAAAAAACAGATCGATCATTTCTCCCTTTTACTGCAGAAAAATGGCCTTGTGGGCCCTTTGTGTGGGAAGTGAATGAATCTGCTGTCACTGTGTAAGAGGTAACATTGCCAGCACAAAGCCACAGCAATTGCGAAGTATAAGCCAGAAGGGTATTCAAATGACTGAAATCAGCTATAAAGTGTCAGCCCCATGTTTCTATGTAATCATTATCCAAATCTTATGTGGAGTGTTTACATCTCTCTAATAACTGTAGAGCTGCACACAACAATTAGTGAGAGTGTGAACTCTAATCAATATTTTACATATTTAATGTTCCAAATATGGTCTTATATGTTCTGAAACATCGTTCTTAAAGGTACACTGAGGCTCCTTCACACAACAAGTCAATGCTCCTCCATCACAGTTGTCTATTCTGCCATGTGTCTCCTAATGAAAGTGAACCACTGTAGTACTTTTGGTTTAAACTGTTCCTCAAAGTTGAGCATAAATTTCCTAAAGCACAGCAGAGCATGAGGCAAGACGGAGCAGGGTGGAATGGGTGATGAGAGGCAAGAAGGAGTACAGGGTTGTTTTAAAACAGCTGTGATGTCAGAGCCCAAACAGGCAAACGAGGGGAGAGGAGATGGGGACAGGGTGCACGTGATGCTCTCCGGGGGGGGTGGGGGATTAGCTAACCCTCACTGTCCTGGAACCCTTATAAGGAATCAGAGTCATGGTGCTCTAATGGGATACACACACATCATGGCTATAACCCTCCAGTCAGTTGTAAACAAGAGAGTTAGGTGTACAGATTACAGGCTCTCACTCAGCCTCGAGCCTGCTCCAGTGCCAACTGCACAGTTGTAGGAGGGCCAGTACTCACTTGCCGCATAGCCACCGACAGTTGTTTACAATATGCTTATGACCAGCAGTCAGAAGTGGTCTGAGGCAGTGGGGTGAAAGAGGAAATCAGGATATAGCTATGATCAGGATTAAACTCTCCTGTAAACATGTGCATGGACAACTGCAGATACCCCAAACCAGTAGTGTTCTGATAATACCGGTTTTTAGTTAGCTTCCTTAAAATACTGCACATCACTGTCTTTGCACACAGACACAGACAGACCTGTCACAACAAAGTGAAGAGCAGACAAATACCTGCACTCAGATGACAAACTTTATACCAATTCGACCCCAGCGTAGTTGCAGATGGAGAGAGTGAAACTGTGGTAAATTAGACATTTGTGCACATGGCTTTGACTTTTTTTTTCCCACCTGAGGTGACAGTCAGCAAAGCCAGTGTGCTCAAGGCACAAGAAAGTGCTAGTTTTCTATCTCACGCTCATCTCGCAATCATTAACTCATTTTCTCCACCCCTGTTATTCCTGTTCAAAATAACAGGAAGGAGAGTACTCCAGCATGTTTTGGGTTGACAGGAGAAAAACACCCTCGAGAGGTCACTAGTCCTGACAAACAGGGCTGACCTGAAGGATGAGCGAAAACACTAAAACAGATTTTTTTAATGAGCAAAAAACTTACATTTCATACTCTTTTTTTATTATTATTGCAATCATTCTGCAGTCAGCTGAGACTGAAGAAGACACTTAGATGAGTGATGAAACGCTTCTCCCACTGAAAACGCTACGTCCAGATGAACAGACTAAACTTTTGGGGATATTATAGCTATTATTCATCTCTGCATCAGTAACATTTACTGCTGTTAAGTGAATCAGAGCAGTTATACTGCATGGTCAAAAGAATTTAAAACTTGCATATGCTCACATGTGTTACAATCCATGTTAGTATATTTGTGTTTTAAGCCTTGCTGAACTGAAAATCCTCCTAAATCCTCTTTTTTTCATGCACATTAAAAACCAGGAGAGAAAAAATGACTAAAGTAATCTTTTCTTCTTCTTTTTTTAACAAATCAAAGTCTCAGGTCCATACAAACAATAACTAGACACTATTAATCTCAGATTTCAAAGTCTGAGCGCTGCTCCAGATGCACATTAGACTGGAGTGCTCTCCTATCCCTCGAGCTCCTGTTATATTCACTGTCAGCATCACAGTGACAGGCACAACTAGGCCTGCTGGCATCAACACCCAAGAGGAAAAGATCAAGGAGAGGTCAGTGGTGACACTACAGAGGAGGAGCAGCTAATCAATCTTGTGAGAGATCTGAACCCAGTGAACCCTCTCAAAAAGCTGCATGTCTCACAACATTTCAGCGAGGCAAAACTGTCTTTAAATGAGGCAAAATTATCAGAGCTTGACAGCGTTACCTTTATGAAGTTGTTCAGGTGGCCCAGTTTTCGCATGTTACTGACTCCGTGCGGTTTGGCCACATTTTGAAGGATTTCACGGAAGTTTTCTGACGGTTCTGAAGGAGAATGAAAAGGAAATACAATGTAACTAAGGGAGGCGTTAAGCCATATTGCCATAATAATATCAGTCAATGAACCGTAATAGATATCCTGCAGGAAGGAAGTTGGTTTAGCTGGAACTAATGTAGAGTGTACAATCAAAACAAAGGCTAGACACTAAAATAGCCAGACCTGAGCGGGAAGTGTTTTTGTTTTCAGTTCCTTTCAACTATCCTACGTTAAATATTTTGACAAACGGGAACCGCATTTTAAAACAGAATCGTCTAAGCGTGGTCGACGCCTAAACGCCCGCTTTGCGTGGGATGACTTCCAGATATTGCCCTGCAAGACAAATGTAAACATCGCACAAACTGGGAAAACACCAGCTTAATGAGCTGCGCAGATCACTTTCTCCTCAACAACAAAGCGCAGCAGATGATAAGCCTGATTACGCTGCAGCTTGTCAAAAAGTAACAGCTATCGGTATTAGTCATCAGTCTCACTGCTCCAAACACTGCACTCGATCCATCGCTCAAAAGTGGAAATGAGAAAAATGCCAGCCCAAAGGGTTACTTTGGTAACAAGCATTTGTAAACATCACGAGCCAATCTTACAGTAAGTTATGAATACATCACATTATTTCATAATTTGAACTGACATACTTTATTTTCCCCAGTTTTGGTATTGTCAGGAAGAACATGTAAATAGTGCAAATCGCACTGAAGCAGCTGATAGGTTAAGTGTATTGACTCTCCTGTGGTGAAGATTTTAATGTTGTCAGTCACACATATTTCAGGTGAGCATGTCTCTAGTTGAGACGATTGTAATGAATCTAGCAGGGATCTGGGCCTCCAGGACTCAGACACCGCTGCTCCGTGTAAACAAACTGCTATGCAGTGTTGATGCTGGAGGAGTAAATCTGACAAGTTGTGCAGCTGTGTTATCAGTGCTCCTCTGGAAGAACCACCGTGTGCTGCCTCAATGCTTCTCGGCGCACAGCTTTCAGACTCAATTCCCCCAGCCAGTTAGCGATGACAAATGCATGACTGCAACTCTTATGGCTACTTGGCTAAATAACAGGCTATCGTGCCCACTCACGCCGATCAAAATAACAGATCGTCTTCATGGCTGGTTAGCTGGGGCAGCTAGCTAACGCTAACTCAGCTAGTTAAGTTAGCTCGTTGCCGCCTGTTGTTATGACATCGATAGCGACGTTTTTAGACCAAACAGTGAGGGAAAATGGCGAAATAACAACAGCAGTGACGGGTCAAGCGCGTACACTGTCTAGACTTTCACTACGCGGGGCTAGCGTTTGCAGAAATCGCCCTCATCCATTTTGAACAATAATCGCTTTCAGGGTGATGTGATGAAGCCTCTGCTTACCTCTGCTCAGATCCAGCGGTACGTTCTCCTCCCCGCTGTCATTCCGACCTGTCAAAAACACACACCGCGGACACGCCGAGACATTACTCCAAGGTCATCGCGTGCGTGACAAAATCATATTTTGCAATATCCTGCTTTTACAGCAGCCGCTGAACCGAGGTTTTTGTGCTTACCTCGCATCCGAAGACTCCGGATAGGACGGCCGCGGAAGCTGGCCGCCATGTTTCCAGGAACATACACAACACCGGAAACTTCGCGGGTTATCGCGAGACAGCAGACGACAGAAGGACCGCAACAGATCCTCAACAGACCTAAGATCAGCTGGATCCTCCTTAATATCCCTCTAATCTTACCAGTGATAAAAGCATAAATCTGATCTGGCGACTGTGTTAGGGTTAGCAAAGGGGGATCTCAACGCCATATAATTTCTATCACAAATATTATCATTTCAGGTAAAGTTAATTTTTGACTTGCCTTATCCATTCATCTTTTATTGTTTAAGTATATTCTTCCTCTTCTTTTTCCTATTATTATTATTATTATTATTATTATTATTATTATTATTATTATGTCTACATTTAAAATCGGTTTTGATTGAAAAAAGAAGCTTTCAATAATTCATGTCTATGAGTGGCTCCAGCTCGACCTTTCACATTTCATAGTTATAACTGATGACTTCGCTATTTTTCACACGTAAAGTCTGTCAATAAACATTTAAAGTAGTTTATTCTGGTTTTTAAATGTAATTTTAATGATCTAATGTGCAAGTTATTATTATGCAGTTATTATTATTCATTATTTTTTTGTATATATCAAAAGTAAGTAATATCAAAAGTAAAATATGATATTGCAGCACAACTTTTTGTTAGTTTGTTTTTCCGCCGTTTTACTAAAGGCAAAACAGGTGTGAGAAAAGAATAATAATAACAACGAATGACTACAATTTTCAGCTTTTCAGGTCTTAATACCTGCAATAACCGTCTTGCACACTTGGTGTCACCCATACATAACAATGAACACTTTGTCAATCTGGGAGTGGACCGAAATGTGGCTTCACCATTTGAAATAAATAGACACTCTCTGAGTACAGGCGTATTTTGTCTGTTTGCAAATTAATTTCAACTAACAATTGAATGCATGAAAGAAGGTGACTTTTTCTCTTACTCTCTAAAAGCAATAACTCTACACACACATTCTGATCTCTACTCAATTTAATGGCCCAGTCTGGAACATCCAAAGGACAGAAGTATTGTATAACCTTCACTATCAATTAGTGAGCTAATCAGAAAAAAAAAGTTAACAGTATGGCAGTAGCTTATAGCAGGCCTATTATATTTACATTAACATCAATAACATTAATGTATTCCTATTTTAAAATTAATATGAATACATTTTATTAACAAACAGCCTAAAGGAAATAGAAACAGCTGATTAAGTCACTGAAAATAGAGAAAGTGTAAAGTCACATGAGAAAGAGATATGATAGGCAACTTTATAATTTACATTTGCTCTGAGCGCATCAGCTAGTGAACTGGAATCATCGTAGATACAAAGTTATACAGTAGGCAATGGCTCTGTGATTCTTTCTCTTCTTTTAAATCCTCATGGGTTGTAATGAGAGATTTTATATTAATCTTTCCCATAATCTATGAGCTTACTGAATGTATTAGGTAGATCATTCTGCTAGTTTACATGATTGGCAATTCAGGGATTTAAAATGGTCAATAATCACTCGCTCAAAAAAAAAAAAAATCTTTAGCCATAAACTATTTAGTTGTTTTGACTCACTGGGGCAATGGTAGCTGCTGTCTCCACTGGATGATAACAGAGACTAGGAAAACACTCTCTGCCTGTTGATTACAGTGTAAACAAAATGTGCTGCATAGTTCACCGAGTTCATAGTTTAATGCAACCAAAGTTTATGGTTACAAGGGAACACATATCTGGAAAATAGATTGAAAGCTATTCACCCCCTGACATTAAATGAACTGCAAAGAAGATTCAGATGCTTACTATTACTGCATCTATCAGTTTGGTCATTTAAAGAAGTTCAGTTTCTTGAACTTAAAACAATGTTTTGCATTACTGACTACCTGACAGAGAGACTGCAGTGCCTGGGACTGGGCAGACCTCTGTCTGATTAGGTGATGTGCAGCACTGGAGCATCACAGAGGACTGCGCGGTCTCCATTCCTGTTCACTTTTTGAGTTGTACAGATTTTCAGTACAACTTCAGGTCAAAGCACCTATGGAAACGCTGATGATTCTGCACTGCTTTGACAGGAGAAGCACTACAGAGCGGTCTCATCAGAGCAATCTGAATATGCTTTATTTTGAAAGTCTGATCCCTACACTAAACCCCAAACTAGATTCCTTTTGAAATTTATTATATTGGATCTGCTGGAGCTCTGATTTTCCTCCCTACTGTGATCTAATGCCCTCCTGATGATAGAACGCTATCCGGGACATTGAGCTGAAAACCCCAGTCAGGAGAGCGAGCATAAACTATTTGCCAATGTTAATGTTTGAAGATGAGAACTACAAACAAATTGCATCCTGCATCTGTTAAAACAGCAAGGATTCATAGTGAAAGAGTCTGGGTGCTGAAGTGGCCTGGCTGCATTTCAAACCATCCACTAGCTGAAAACATTTGGCGCAACATGAAATCAAAAATACAACAATGAACACCCTGGACTGCTGAACCGCTCAAATCCTCTATCAAACAACAATGGTAAACCATTCCTCACCCAAAAGTCCATCAATGGGTCTCCTCACTTCCCAGATGGTTATGGGCTGTGGTTAAGAGAACAAAGGATGCTACGCAGCGGTTATCAGATGTTTTGGTGCCATCAAATTCAAAATAAAACTTTTCCCCCCTTAAAATGTTACAATGTCTTAATTGAAACATTTGATTATGTTCCATTATGAATAAATTGTGTCCCTACTTTTTTGGGGTTGTTAAATAGACTAAAATATTAAAGGTCTATGCAACCCCATTACATAGTAATACAAACTTTATTTAAGTATAATTCCATACAGTTTTATTATATTTTTTATTGAGACAAACACACAAATATGGCTTCCTGCTTAAACATAAGGATTGTTTTAAGTTAGCGTGGCAGCAGATACAAGGGCGTCAATATCCTGAATTGCTTTGGATGTCCTTTGAAGAGCTTCAGCAACATAGTTGTCATTTAATGGCTCACGAGTGACGTCTGCAGGTCTTTCCTCCTCATCTGCACGTGCTTTTCCACTTCTCAGCACGTGACTGTTCTCCAGCAGAACTGGGCAAAGGATGTTAAAGAGCACACAGAGAAACCCTCAATACAGACATCAATGTTCATGTCAGCATCCCGTTGTATCTTGATCCTAGCACTGAAGGATACAGGTGAATCGCTTTATCTTCTCAAGCTCTGCAGCAACGAGCTCTGATCTAAAATGAACAGAAGGTCAAATGAACAGTACACACAAGCTGTTAACACCTTTAATTTTATAACAAGATATCAACAGAGTGACCAGAAAAACACAACTTACAAACTGCCTGCTTCCTCTGTCACACTCATGCGTTGCTCAGAAGGCACAGGAATGGGCACCTTTTCTTCAAACGCTGCTGGTTTACAAAAATATCCATCCTGCCAACAGAAAGAGATTCAGTAACTGGCAGTGCACAAGCTTAAATGGTGTAAGTGTAGGTATCCACAGGTGTATCAGGAGGTACTACTACTTCAAGCTCTTGCAAGCAGCTGGGTAAGGCTGGACACTTCAGTGACTTCAAGGCCTGGTTGTAGCAAGCCAGGATCCTGTAAAACAGTTATGCGATGGGTGAAGACCGGAAAAAAATAAGTCCTTTAACTTACCAGACTGCGATGAAGAGGGGGCAGCTTACCTGCTTGCACGACTCACAATAGAGCAAACAGAGTAGGCCTGTCCAAGCACATCAGGTGGAAGGCTGTTTAAATGGTAGGTTACCTCTTTGACCTGTGGTAAAGATGGGCTAAATTTGTAAGATTTCTTTTAAATGTATTGGTTAATCTCTTATTATAAAATTTAAAGTTTACCAGCCCTGACTGGAGTTCAGTTTTGTGATGCGTAAAATAAGAGTTAAGGTTGCGGTTAGAGCGGATGACTGATCCATCCCCTGGGGAAACCTCAACAGCTGAGACAGGTCCACCTAGTATCCTACACAGCAGACATGAAGGTAAACACACTATTCTAGTGTAGATTTATGGACCATTTCCCACACTCTATACTGTACAACAATGATTTTTTATCATGAGTATGAAAATTGAAGATCCTTTAGCTTTGGTGTTAGACTGGATCAACAGGAAAGATGCTTCTGCTCTGATTTATTGTTTTGCTTTGAGGCAACTGATGAGGCACAGAAGACTTGAAAAATGACAGCTATAAGTTGTCAGGACTATTTTTAATAAATAAATACATTCAAGCACTTTTCTGGTATTTTCAAAGTGAATCTTCAAGCCTTTTCAGCACTCTCCTGGAAGAGATTGCAAAAAGAAGATACCACTCAAAAAAAAAAAAAAGAAAAAGAAAAACTAAAGAGAGCTCTTATCTTGGATTTTTTTTGACCTGTTGCCCTCAAGTCGACGTTTTGATTAACAATTACCTCGCCTTCACTTCAGATTTGGTGCTAAATGCTTAAAAGCCTACTATACCAAACCTACTATAGTACAGAAGATGTTTTGGTATTATCTAGGTAACATCACATTAGGGCTGGGCCATATCATACCGTTCACGGTAATATCGGTATAATGTTGGGCAACAGTAAGAAAATGAAATATCGCAATAGAATATGGGTAAAACGCGCATGCACAGTGCCTTTGTTTTCATACGCACATGGCAGAAAAAGCATGGCGGCGACGGAGAATAAGAAGGGTGAAAGTGGATCGTTGAATGAAACAGATGAACCAGAATTGGTTGCTGCAACTTCAGTGGTGTGGAACTGGTTAAGCTTTCGTCCCTCAGATACACAATAAAGCACTATTTTTGGTAGAGAATGCTAGCGGGCCGTCGTTATTACCGTGTTTTTTGGAAAATACGGCACACTTAAAATCAATCCTTTGATTTTTCTGAAAATCGACAGTGCCCCTTATAATCCCGTGTGCCTTATGTATGAATTCTGGTTGTGTTTTCGGACCTCGAAACGATTTTATGTGGTACACAGCGCTCGAAAATCTGTCAAATATTTCACTTTGCTAAGCTACAAACCTGCACCGC